ACCTCACAATTATTTCTAGCCATTATATTTTAAATCTCGACACTAAGAATGAATCACAAAATTCGAGAAAAGTTTCTCCAGCATTGAGCACAATTAATGACACAATCTTAGCCATTTGATCTCACATTTGATAGCTCAAGTGAGTGTGACCTCCTTGGGCCAGAAGTAAATGGTCTCATCTTATACTTTATTCTTTTTTTGTTTTGAGTAGACATATGTGAACTTTAAAAATGTCTATAGAACTTTCAAAATATATATGGATTCATTAAATTAAGGTATAATTGATTATTTCTTGCTACTCATCACAAATAGAATATTCATAAAACAGTGTAGTATTTCTCTTCGTGATATAGTTGTGTCACCAGATTCCCTTCTTCGTGTCAAAAAGAATCCAACACCCAGTACCTGTACTAAACACAGACATGTGACCATATTCATTCAACATAGTGGATCAATAAGCCACCAAAGTTCATCTTCATACATAGAAAGACAGAGAAAATGGGAGCTATTTGTTACTCATAAAACTTACATTAGTTTCCTATCCTCTATCGAACATTCATAGCTCACAAGTCTTTTTTATCTCTTGTACCTAATGGTGTATAATTGGCCATTGGGGCCTCTAACAAAACAGATTCTAATGTCTCAAGTTTTTCACAATGACCTATGTTAGATCCTTTGCTTATGCCGAACCCCATTCTCTTGAAATCATGTTTCTAGATTTCTCCTAACTTTTCCTTCCCTTCAACTTTTCCTTTCCTTCATGAACCAGCTCAACTTATGGATTCGGTTACTCCAGAAGTGCTCTAACAGAAATCAAAGGGAAAAAGTGTTCTGATAGCCAGGTCAATTGAATCTCACTCAATATTGAATAGCAAATTACAACTACCACAATTAACAAAAGTTGGAAGGATTGATGCTTAATATTTTAATAGATACCCCAGCTAAAATAATTGATTGAAAAGGAATGTGTTCTTCTACATGAATCTTTCCCCATCTCCCCAATCGTGCCTATCTGTTATTCACTAAATCTCTGCTACCATACCAGCTAGTGTAGCGCTCGAGAACTTTTGGCATCAATGGTTCGGAGATACCGGTTTCAAGACATTTAGGGCTTTCTTTCTTCAATCTTCAATAAATTTGGAACCCAATTATAAGTGCCAAATCAGTTCTTCAATAAATTTGGAATCCAATTAGAAGTGCCAAACCAGTGATTTAAACTCGTCTAGTTAGGCTAGAACTTGGCCAAGTTACATGCACTAAGCAGACTACATAATTTGGAGGAAAAACCTTTTGGAAAAGGTTTTTTCGTTAATTTTGTTAAGATTTGGCCGAGTCTAACTTAGACTCAGTGGAGTCTAGCCCATCTGTTATGGTTGAACTGGGGTTTTAGGTGTCTGCCCATCTGCATTCAGTGCCACTTAAACAAGGTAATATGGATGCACCTATAAATGACCTCCCAATCCACAAACAGTGCTGCGTTTTGGGATCAGTTTCGTTTCTGAAAAAACTAAAAATTCAACATTTTGCAGGGTGGCAACCTGCAGATGAACAGAACTATGGACTCATCCACAATGGCAGCCAAACACGCCGAAAACTACTTTTCTGCTCTATGAATGCAGCAAGAGCCATTTGTTGGCGACCTCTATTTCAGATGGCTGCGAATAATGTCTTCCTATGTCGTACCACCTCCAAAGCCTCCTCAATTCTACTCTCCACACGGTCTGTGGCGTCGAAGAAGCTACATAATCCTGGTTTGTTAAGTTTGTATCTTAAGCAGGATCCAAGGAAAATTAGCAACACTCTTACAACCTTGTCTTTATCCTTACAAGGCTATATTATTATTCATGTTTATATTGGAGAAATAACCAACATGGGATATGACCAGTTATGTTTGCTAAAAGTAAGCTTCAAGAACACCTCTTTTTTTTTGTGGGGTGGGGGATTTAATTTTCAGCGAATTCTTTTTCAGATGACTGGCCCAGGAAATCTGAAGTACTTACTGGACATATAGGTGGATTATTCTTATTAGGATATCATCGGGTGATTTCTAGGCAACAATAGTTTACATACTACAGATTGCAAATTGTCTTCGCTTTCAAGTTGAGAAAGGAAGTGATGCAAGAAGAAAATAACAACCAGAATAAGAAAAAAAAAAAAAGTGAGAGAATAAACCCTCTCTCAAGGTCTGCAAGGGAATCCACCCAAAAACAAGGTTTGCAAGGGAATCCATCCCAAAAAAGTCTGCAAGAAAATCCACCCCAAAAGATCTTATCACAAGATCAACTTTATTCAACTCTCTCTAATCATTCTCTCTTTACAATGAAAAACCTCTTCCTTTAAGTAGACTTCAAAAAAAATAAAAAAACCCTCTCTCTAACTTGAGACAACCTTTCCTTTATCTCCCTCTCCTTTACCTCACGTGCCACCTCCCTTCCCTTCTATTTTCTCTCTTCTCCCTATTTTCCTAAATCCTCACACACCAAAATTTTCCCAATCTTTATCTTCCCCATAAATCCATCTCTATCTAAATCTTCTATAAATCTCTAAGCAAATCTCCCAAATCTATCAAAATAGGAAACCTAAATCCCTTTGCCCATATCCCAATCCTAAAACTCACGCCCCACCTGTGAACTTTCTAAAAAACTCAAAAAATAATAAATTCACAATTTTCAATTTTTCCCAATTTTTATCTGCATCAGGAAGTGAGTTTAAAAGCTCTTGTTGAGTTTGAGGACTTTTTAAGGCAGGAGGCAGTTCTGGCCCCACCCCTTACTGCGTTTTCTGCTATAACGACCGAAAGAAGGGTCATACCTCTGAGTTACATTCAGGATCCACTGGCTCCCAAGTGATTCACTACCAACCAAGTTGCTCCTCCAGCTAACAAAACCATAGATACTAAGTCATTGGTGATCTAGTCGATTCCACCATCTCAGAAAAAAAAAAAAAATCATGTTTATCATGAATTGAGAATTGAGCCTCTCAAATGATTCGTAATGTCAGTCTTCATCATCTTCCACAATCTGTGAGATGACTCCAATTTTTCACATGGTTGATTTTATTACTACCCTGCCCCAGATATATACAACCCTTTGGGATGGATAAAGAGAGAGGAGTACAGGTGAGGCCAATTTCTTTTTGTTTTTTTAATGGGACCACCTCTTTTCTCCTTAAATTGATTGGAGCACAATTTCTGAACTGGTGAAGTTTATGTTGTGATCAAAAGAATATACTCAGTGCATATGTTCTGACTTCTAGATGTGTTCCTATGGCAAATATTGTGTAACTCAATGGTTTGAATGCATGTTCTCCTGTTCTCATCTCTAAATTTCAAAGAAGTTAAGTGTTTTATGAGACAGTATAATTGCAAAGAAAAGGTATATATTTAAATGCTTATCAGAGTTCATGCCATCTCCAAACTTAGGCACAATTAACATTGTTGATCAAAGACACATGCAAATGCTTATCACGGCTCATGCCATGTCCAAGCTTAGGCACAGGATTAATTCCAAATCATCATTATTTGGGATATATTGCATCAAAATCTCGTTGTTTTCAGCGAACTTTCACATACTTCTTTTTTTCTCTTTCATTGAATCAAACTCTCAATCGCATGCTCACATCAAGCATGCTCGCTAATCTTATCCTTGAAGAAACTGAGTTTGCCATAGGGCATCAACAAGAAAGTGTAATATAGCATCCCATGTCCAAGACTAGAAACCCAACCTCTTCAACCCAACAATGAAGTCCACCACAAGTTTCAGCTAGATGTTTCCCACCAAAAGTGAAGCTATTTAAGAGGCAGATCAACTTGCAGGAGAGGGAGTCATGAGGACCACTACTCTAGGGTAATTTTTGTGAACATATAATGAGACTTGAGGATCTAGTAGCTAATTTTGTTAGAGGAAAATATGCTTAGAAGTTTTGATTACTGAAATAAACTTAATTTTCTGTATAAAAGAGAGAGAGAGAGAGAGAGAGAGAGAGAAGAGAGAGAGTTAAATACCATA